AGGCAGCCAGGCTAAAACAGGTTTGATCTTCAAGTGTCCTTGCCCACTGAGGCAGCTGCAATGGGTGGAGGTACACCAGTCAGGGGCATTGGCGCCTGCTGGCAACTTCTTCTGAAGGAGCCTCCTGGCCCACCTGCCCAGGGTCTTCGCTCCTGCCTGCTCAGGAGGGTCTGACCCTTCACCTCCAGCCTAGTTTCCTTCCAGATGGCTGCACCTCTCAACCCTGCCTTGTCGCTGCTACCACCATGCCCCCTAGTTCCTCTGTCACCCACTCTTTAAGAGTTGTGGAGACAACCGCCGTTGGCCTTTCGGTGCCCAGATAGGGCTCCGCTCCCTCCCTGTGCTGACATCAGGCCTCGCTGCCCCTTACTCTCGCAGATCCCTCTCAAAGCGAGCCCAGGAGGAAACCTTGGACCCCCTCCTTCTCAGCGCCCCCACATTCCCTCGTACAGTTTAGGGGACAGTGTCTTCTGCTGGGGGCACCCTTAACCCTTTCAGCCCTGCCTCCCTGTTAACCCCTTCCTGCCTCAACTCTTCCGAGCAAGTCTTCCTGGCCACAGAGGGCCTCTCCGCTCCTGGGGGTTAACCTCTCGTTGCCAGGACCCCTTCTCCGCGCCCCACCTGGCGGGCCCGGCGGCTCTCCGCCTCCCGCCTCCCTCCCTTCGGACTCCGTACCGAAGTCCAGAAACTGCTTCATTGACAGGGGCGACGGGGAGAACTTGCTGAAGTGCTCGATGTACTTGGGCGCTCCTGCCAGGGACGCATTCTTCAGCAGCGCCCGCACCCAGCGCATGGCGGCGGCGCCCGCAGCTCGGGCTCAGCTGGGCTGCGGTCCCTGCGCGGGCAGCTCTGGCGCTGGCTTGGCCCAGTCCGGCCCAGCGACGCTGTTCGGCCGCCTCCTCCCTGCTTCTGCCCTGACGGCCCCTCCGACGCGCAGCCAATCAGCACTCGTGGCTTCTCGATATAGCCAATAGCCGCGCACAAACAATTCCGGGAAAACCAATAGCCTTGTGCCCCGGCACGTGGCTTTTTCTGGGTCCGCCCCCTTAACCCTGTCTTTGCCGGGGTGGGTCTGTTGTTTTCCTAGACTGTGTCGACGTCCCGCCCCCATCGGCTCCCTCCTCCGGTGCCTCCCAGAGGCAAGCCCCGCGTTAACCCCTCCCTTCCCCGAGGCCAGCAAGCCCTTTGCTTCCTCTTCCACTCTTGCCTTGCTTTGCTCCCTCACCACTTTTCTTCACTTGCCGGGTCCTTTTTAACCCTTCCTTCCCTGACTTATCCAGGTAACTTTCAGCGAATCCCTTTTCCAAATAAAGGTACCTGTCTTACCTGTCCTGATCCCTACCAGCTCTCCTTTCTGGAGTCTTGTGGCTTCCCAATCCGGGTGATTGACACAGACTGAGTATTTGCAAAATTAGGAACCGGGATACGAGCCTATACTAATCTGCCCTATATTCATGCAACCCACTCGCTTCCATAAAGATCCAAGTGCCCCAGGAGAAGGTGGCGTTTGCCTTCCTAAAGTGAAAAACACCCAGAGCCCAAAACCCTCACGATTAGCAGCGGTGGAGGCAGCAACTACCATCAGTGCTCATTTTCGAAACACTTTCATTCTATTATCGGGTTCACTTGACTGATCATAAAGCCTTGGACATCTTGCGGCGACCACCTAAGAAAACAACCTTCTTTGGACCCGGTTTCCTCAGAGTAAGATCCGAGGGGTTGGGGAGTCCTGAGATCTTGGAGCCCAGCCTTCGCCACCAGCGCCGCCTCTTTTGTGAGAAACGTCTTGCGCCCACTTGTGGAAGAATGTAGTATGTCCCATCCTGGGCCTGGGGCCCGAACTGACTCTGAGGATTTGCACCAATGGTTTGATCAAATCGTGAGCCCGCATTTACCAAGCGTCTTATATATGCTAGGCTTTGTGTTGAAATCAGGAAACACAGGATCATGACATAGCCTTTCCCCTCAATCATTTCATTTCTCAGTTTGGGAGATGGCTGCACAAGAAATGAATCAATAATAGGATGTGATTGTAGCCTGGCTTCACAATGGAAGGCATTCCTTTAATGGATAATAATCTGTGTGCCAGGCACTGTTTGCTGCATTACCTCATTTAATTCTCAAGACAGCTCTATTGTACTATTATTATCCCCCATTTGATAGATAGGAAAATAGAGTCTCGGGGATCATTCTGAACTACAGATCTGACCTTGTTGCTTTCCTGCTCACAGCCTTTCAGTGACTCTCTACTTCTTACTGGACTCTTTTCAGTTGTCCCATGATGTGCTTTGGTTTCACTCCCAGCCTCCTCTTCCACATGTTCCAGCTCAATTCCCAGCCCCACCTGTGTGCTGCCTTGAACTGGCTTCTAATCTCCAAGTCATTGCAAACTCCATCTTTTCTGTCTGGATCAATTTTCTCAACTTCATCTATCCATTCTTCATATCTCATCTGCTTAGTCATTCCTTCCTCCAGGAAGCTTCCCTGACATTCCCAGCCTGGGTTAAGAGCTTCCTCCAAGGGCTCCTTAGATCTCATAATCTTAGCAAGAGCTTACCACACTGAGTGGTAATTTTTTCTGATTCATCTGTCTTTCCTACCGGACTCTGAGCTCCAGGAGGACAGACACGTGTTTATCTTGGTATCTTATTCTCCAACTTGGGGCGCGGTGCCTGGCATGTGGTTGAGGATGGAGTGAAAACGGAAGTGCGGTCAGCAGGGAGACATGCCCAGAGATATCGGAGAGCACTACCAGATGTCACTGGGCCAGCAATTAGGAGGCAATTGAGGCCCTGGGTAATCGTGGCTGCAAGTGCCCTGTAATGTATGGGATATTATGCATAAAAACCCAAGCCCTGTGCCTAGCAATAAATGGTATCTATTACTATTACTACTGTCAAAATAACAAGGACAAGCCCATGACTCTGAGCCTAGGTGTAAGAGAAGAAGAAAGTTCCCATGACCCTCACCTTAGAGCTCAACTTCCACACAGTGGGCTCCTTCTGCAGAGCTCGCGGCAGGGTGCAACCCAGTCATGCTAGGTGAGGTGATGCTGAGCTCCCCAAAGCTCCCAATCCTCAAACATCCCACATCCCATGCAATATGGGTTGGTAGGGGGCTCTCAGGCTGACAGAAACTTCATCTCGACACAGGTTTTCCCAGCAGCAGTTTTACACCAGCAATTAAAGGGTCCAGCCTACAATTGAGTTGCTTCTCTCCTATTCAAGCTCATTGGTCAGAATGAGTCACATGGCCTCACCCAACAAGGGGGGACCTGGAAGTGCAATCCCATCTGCTACACAAAAAGGAAAGAATCACCTTGATGGTTCTTTTAGAGATGCAAGAGCCAAGACCTTCTCTGGCATGCAGTTTGGAGGTGCTGCAGCTCCCGGCTCCCAGGAGCTCAGGAAGCTTGGCACTGTGGAGCATGTTTTTGTAGTGGCGGAGGTGGCATCTCTACCACCTGTGTTTCTTGCCTAGAAGTGTAGCTGCCCTGGTCCTGCAACTGTCTTATTCTCAGGAGTGGCTTAGTAGGAAAAGTGTCTATTCCCAAGCCTATGCGCGCACATGTGTGCGTGTGTGTGTGGGGGGGGCGGGTGTTGGACTGGGCATGTGCAACTAGTCAGAGAGGTGTATAAACTCTCCTTTGACTCAAGCAGGAAGTGGCTGTAAGCACAGGACTGATCTGGGCTCAGTTTTGCTCAACATGAGCTGGGATTTGACACCCCCACCATGGTGTTATTCCCAAACAAGTGAATCCCAGATTCTGGAAAATGAAGGTCTTTGATCACTGGGTTCTAAGAACTTGGCTTCTCAGGGGTGGGGCTGGGATTTTCCTGGGGGAACTGAACATTCCACTATCAATCATCCTGAAACAGGGGAAATCCCAGCATAGAAAATGAAGGGCTGAGGTACAGGAAGGGTGTTGGACCCTGCTGGAAAGAGGGGCGGGCAGAGAGCTGCCACAAGGTCAAGGCTGAGAGATACCAGGTAGACATCAGGAGGAACTTCCAGAATAGCTTGGGCCTGAGGGCTCTGAGTGGCTCAGTCTGGCATCTGCCCCTAGGTTTCTTCAGACAGTTATTTCCAGTTGTTATTGAAATCTTCTAAAGGGTCAGAGCTTTAGATAAAATTCTCTCCTTTTCTCTCTTATTTATTCGTTTGTTTGTTTGATTGGTTTTTGGTGCCAGGGATGGAACCTAGGGGGCCTGATGCTAGGCAAGGGCTCTATCACTGGGCTACATCCCCAGCTTAGCCTTGGGGAAAATGAACAGTATTAATATGCAACTTGGAGTCAAGAAATCAAGGGGACACAGCCTTGTGGAGGGGACAACCTCAGTACAGAGGAGGAAGTGCTTCAGGAAACACGGGATGCAAGGGGGGAGCTTCATCCAAATGGTGGGCCACCTAAGCTTTGGTACCAAACACTTCCGGGGAGCTTGCAAAAGACGAGAGCTCCAGGGCCTCCTGCTCAGAGGCTGGGGGATGGATACTATGACCTGCTCACCTTTGCAGCCTTGGGTAACTGGTTCACCGTGATTGCATCAGGGTTCCCAGGGGTGGTGGTGGTGAAACAGAGGCAGAAAAGGAGGCTCTTATGTGAACTCAGTCACTGGCTGAGGGATCTGTCTCTCTACCCATGTACCATCTTTGTTCTGTGACAGCCAGGACTACCTGTTCCTAAACGCAGTAGCTTGTGCCTCTTCCCACCCCCGCATCCCTCCCTGCCTTTCCAGGCCAGCTCACGAGACTGGTCTGTGTCCCACTGGGTCTGCTCAGGGCTCTTCCCTCATCCTCACCTCTCAATCTCATTTGTGTGTCTATGACCAGCCTTTAGGCAGGGGCAGCCCTGAGAGCAGGGGCTGGCATCTCCTCCACAGATCTTTACCCTCAAACCTCTGAGAGCCCAGCTCCCAGCTCTGTCTACCTGGGGCCAGCTGGGTGGTGACGTCGTCATTTGTTTGGGCTGACCTGGGGAGGATGGAGGCAGGTGCCACACGTACAAACTGGGAGAAGTTTATTGGTTGCAGTGAGAAGCCTGTGTACAAAGAAGGCACGAGGCGGGCAGGAGCTCCCTGCTACAGTACCGTGGAGGGGGTGGGCAGGGGCCAGGAGAGGTCCTGGGAACAAGCCTTGGCTTCCTCTGTAGCCCATTGGGGAGGGGGCAGAGCCACGTTGGCTCTGGAAGCTGAGGACAGTCAAGGACTCCACCTCTAAGCCCCCAGTTCATGGGCGGGGGGCACCAGAGTGGAGCCTGGCCTGGGGTGGGATCAGGGACAGGCTCCTTCCCTGCCCTACATTCAAGCGTCGCTCCCTCTGTGGTCTTTCCAGGCCTTTCTGAGGCTGGGGTGGTAGCAGGGGATCAGGATTGGTATCTCCTCTGCGTCCTGCCGTCTGCCTGGCTCAGGACTGGTCTCCTGCTCTCTAGAGACTTCCATCAAGCTCCAGGGCAGGCCCAGAGCCTCTGGTCCAGGATGTCCTGCTGTCTGTCTCTGTTCCTTTGGGCTGTCTGCCCTGCTAGTTCCACGGAGAGATACTTCAAAGAGGTCCATGAAAGAAAGCCACCCTGGGACCTTCTTTCTAGTTTGTTTGCTCCTGGATCACAGCATGCTGGACGCCCCTGGACAGCCTTTAATGGAACCCCAACTCTGTTGCTGGGCCCAGCTGGCTGCTTCCCATCAGTAGTTTACTCTCAACAGCAAAATCGGTCCAGTGACTATGGCTCAAGATGGATCCAGTGTGAAAGGGGTAGGCGTCACCACATTGAGGCCCCTTGGCTAGGTTCTGGCGTAGGCAGAGACTGGGACGGGGTGCGTCCATGTACCACACATGGTGCACGAGCCCAGGGCACAAGCGGCAGGCTCCACGTGTCTAGGGCACAGGGCTGCCATGTGCTCAGCATTGCAAGGTCCCGCTGGGAGGTGTCCGCAGCCAGAAGCACATGCCTCCGCCCAAAGACGAGTGTGTGCCTTGATCTGCTGGTGCCAGCCAAAGGCAATGGCCCCTGTGGACTGTCAAAGGCATAATTTATGATAAATAGGAAGAAAGGGGACACCAGGGGAGGAGGGAGTGGGGTCAGGAAGGATGTCAGTAGTATCGGTCTCGAGTCTGCCAGCTGGTCACCCAGTGCTTCTTGGTGGGCAGAGTGCTCCCTGGAGCTGGGTAGCGCTCCTCCTCCCGGATGCGCACCGCGTGGTACTTGGGCATGATCCGGTAGTAGCGGGTCCGCTTAAAGAAGTCACACTGGAGTTAGGGGAGAAGAGAAAATGCGTCAGCATACAGAGTTTAAGCGGAAGTAAGATGTGCCAGCCTCCCCCCAGACTCCCAGTCCTCAAAGCCAGGATCCTGACTCAAACATGCCCCATGTCCCTGCACTGAGATGGACAGGGAGGATTAGTTTCCCCACCCCCGGTCCAGGAGAAAGAGGAGCTGGGGAAGGCAGAGAGGAGAGGAAGAAGCTGATGGAGACCAAAGGACAGCCGCAGAGACTACTGGTGGAATGGTGGGCCAGGAGAGTGGGGTGGTCTCCCCTGACCAGCAATGGGGGGTCGGTTGCTTATCCCAAGGAGTGGGGGTACTGCTCAGTAGGAAAAGTGCTGGTTCCCCGGAGTCTACCAGTGCCCTCCTTCCCAGGGGTATAGAATCATCTGGACATGCCTCGTGATCTACAAACATGGGCCTAGCCTTGGCTCTGACCCTTTTGCAATCCCCAAAAAATCAAAGTGATCATGGGGAGGATTTTGTGTTTCCTTCTTGAGGTCTAAGTCCCTGAGAGCTAGCTTGGGGGACAGAGGGGAAGTCACACAGAGTAGCCTGCTGTCTTGAGGTGGTGATGGGGACAGAGGAGGTCAGAGCAGGCCCCTAAGCCAAGAGGAAGAGACAGGACAGAGACAGAGGCCCCGGCCAGCTGGGGCACTCGGGGAGGAGGGCCCGGAGGCCGCGTTACCCGGGTGGGCCTGGGTGGGGGCTGCCCCCCTCAGTAGTCGTCCGTCAGCCTCTCCGTCTCTGACGGCTGGCTCTTCATCTCCGCCTTCTGCCTCTTAGCTTCATACAGGGCGCGAGTGCGGGCTCGCTTGAAGAAGCCGCACTGGAGGGGAGGAGGTGGGGAGTGGCCATCAGGGGCGCTGGGGGTCGGGCCAGCAGCTCTCGGGGCTAGGGCTTAGGGCTGGGGATCCTGGAGGCCTGGGACCCGATCCCAGCCTGGTGGTGGGACCAGAGGCCGGAGCTCCTGTGTTCCCCTTTCCAGCTTGCTGTTCCCCCCATGAACCCAGGCAGGGGGTGAGACTAGAGTTGGGAGAAGGTGGGGAGGACGTGGGGTAAAGGTGGGGCTGAGATGGAAATGAGGACTGGGATGGGGAAATGTGGGATGAAGGGAGGGCTGGTGAGCGTGTGCTGGCAGGAGGTCCCAGAGTGGGAGTCCCCAAGGTGGGCTGGTGCTCCTAACCTTCCACAACAAGAGGATGATCAGCCCCAGGAGCAGCAGACCGGCACTCACAGCCACAAGCACCAGCCACAGCTCGATCTCAGCTGGTAGCTCCTCCACCAGGTCAGAGTCAATGTCCACAGAGAACTGGAGAGGGCAGAGGAAGGACTCAGCCCCTGTCTACACACTTAGACCCCAGACTCACCCTTTTTTATCCTAGCTGGGCCTGGGCCTTGGGCCCTGCTGTTTGACTTGATGCCAGTAGGGGGCAGCCAGGGACTGGATAAAGCCCTTGCCAGCCCCACTGACACCAGCAGGTCTACCTGTCCTGCTTCTTTTCACAGATCTGGCTCCAGAGGAGCAGCCCCAGATCTGGGAGGCAGCTTGGCATCTGAGACTGTGACCCACATATTCAGATTTGAGTACCAGCTCCATCCCTGATGAGCTGTGTGACCTGGGACAAGTAATTTCACCTCTCTGAATCACCATTTCATGCTCTCTGATAAGGAGATCATAATGCCTAACTCACAGTTTAGTGAAGTGACCAAAAGCATGGGTTCTGGAGCCAGAAGACCTGGGTTTGAGTCCAGCTGTGCTATTCACTAACTGCATGACCTTGGGGAAGTTGCTTAACCTCTCTGTTGCTTATCTGTAAAATGGGAACTATAATAATATCTACCGCATAGGTTGCTAGGGAGGATTAAACACATTAAATATGAATAAACTGCTTAGAGCAACACCCGCTATTCAGCAAGCCCTCCATAAACATTTACCAAAAAAAAAAAAAAAAAAAGCCACAAACAATGCATAACACCTAGTATTCATCTTCTTTCCCTATAATGGAGTGGTGTGTATATGTATGTACAGATTGAATACCCCTTATCCAAAGTATTTGGGGTGTTTTAGATTTTGGATTTTTAAAAAATATTTAATATTTATATTTGCAGGGATTTTTTCAGATTTTGTTTAAGATTTTGGATTTTTTTTTAATATTTACATTTGCAGAGATTTTACTTGTTGAGCATGATGTTCAAAAAGGTTCAGATTTTGGGAGACTGGGGTTATGGCTCATTGGCAGAGCACTTGCCTTGCATATGTGAAGCATTATGTTTGATTCTCAGCACCACATAAAACAAATAAATAAAATAAAGGTATTGTGTCCATCTACATCTAAGGAAAAAAAAAAGTTCAGATTTGTCTGGGGTTGTGGTTCGGTGGTAAAGGGCTTACTTAGCACGTGTGAGGCATTGGATTCAATCCTCAGCATCACATAGAAATAAATTAATAAAATAAAGTCATTGTGTCCATCTACAACTGAAAAAAATATATATTTTTTTTAGAAAAAGGTTCAGATTTTGAAGCATTTAGGATTTTTAGGTTAGGGCTGTTCGAAATATAAATAAATATGATTTTCCCTGATTATACATGACTTTGAATTTTAAATTTTTTTTATTTTTAAAAATATAAATGATGGGGCTGGGGATGTGGCTCAAGCGGTAGCGTGTTCACCTGGCATGCGCGGGATGCTGGGTTCGATCCTTAGCACCACATAAAAATAGAACAAAGATATTGTGTCCAGGGGCCGGGGTTGTGGCTCAGCGGTAGAGTACTCACCTCGCATATGTGAGACCCTGGGTTCGACCCTCAGCACCACATAAAAATAAATAAGTGAAATAAAGGTATTGTGTCCAACTACAACTAAAAAATATTTTTAAAAAAGATATTGTGTCCACCGAAAACTAAAAAATAAATATTAAAAAATTATCTCTCTCTCTCTCTATATATATATATATATATCTATATATATCTATATATATCTATATATATAAATAAATAAATGATATGGTTGTAGCTCAGTGGTAGAGCACTTGCCTAATAGGTGTGAGGCACTGGATTTGATCCTCAGCACCCCATAAAAATAAATACAATGAAGGTATTTGTGTCTATCTAAAACAAAAAATATTGGGCTGGGGTGTGGCAGTGGTGGAGTGCTCACCTAGCACGCATGAGGCACTGGGTTCAATCCTCAGCACCACATAAAAATAAAATAATAAAATAAAGGTATTGTGTCCATCTATAACTTAAACAAACAAACAAACAAAAATACATATATATATATATATAATGTATAAATTATATAAAGAAAATTAAATGCTCCCAGTAATTAATTTACTCTCTAGAAACAACTATCTCTATAATCTTTGGTGAATCTCTTCACTTTTTTTTATTGCATATAATCCACATTGATGGGGCCACACTACACACTCCTCTCTGACCGGCTCCTTTTTTCTCTAATATCATCATCCTTCCTTGTCTGTTGATAAAAGCCAACCTGATCTCTTCAGAGGGCCATGCAGTCACTGTAGGAAATGTACCACACTTTATTGACCCAATCTCCTACCAAAAGATGTAGATCGTTTCCAATTTTCCGCCCTCATTCACAGTGCCCTAAAATATCCCCATACACTTATCTCCGATACTTGTCCTATTAGCTCCTTAAGATACATTATCATGTGCTGGATCAAAGGAAATGAATGCTTTAAATTTTAATGGATATTGACAAATTCATCTCCAAAAAGAATCCACCAATTTATACTCCAGTCAAAAGAATTTCCCTCCTCCTATCAGTATCAGCCAGCATTACTCTTTTTAGTATTTTCCGATTCGATAGGAAAAAAACTCTTTTTTTTTTCTGTTATTTTTATCTCCTTATGACTAAATTAAACATTTGTGCTGGGCATGGTGGTGCATGCCTGTAATCTCAGAGACTCCTACTGAGGCAGGATGATCACAAGTTCAAGGCCATCCTCAGCAACTTAATGAGGTCCTAAGCAACTTAGCAAGACTCTGTCTAAAATAGAAAATAAAAAGAACTGGAGATGTTGCTCAGTGGTTAAGCACCCCTGAGTTCAATCCCCAGTACCAAAAAAAAAAAAAAAAAGAGAAACATCTGTATACCTCATGTATACTACCTACTTATATTTTTAAATATTAAAATATATATCAATACTTTGTCAAATATTCTATAAAAACTTTTTAAAAAGCAGTTTGTCATGCGTGCTTTTAGTTTCTTTACCATTTCTTTTGCTATATACAGATTTAAATTTTCATGTAATTTGTCAAATTTTTCCATTGGAACTTTGGGTTTAATAAAGTAACTCACTTTCCCCATAATTAAAGGTTATCTTCTGAATTTTTTCTGATATGTTTAATTCCTACATTTAAAATTTTCATCTAAGCCCAACATATTTTTGTATATGGCTGCACATCAGAATCACCTAGGGTGCTTTTTATTTTTGGTGCTGGGAATTGAATCTAGGGGTGCTTTACCACTGAGCTATATCCCCAGTTCTTTTTATTTTGAGACAGGGTGAAAGGGTCTTACTAAATTGCTGAGAGTCTCACTAAGGTGCTTAGGCTGTTCTTGAACTTGTGATCCTTCTGCCTCAGCCTCTGGAGCCATTGGCATTAATGGCATGTGTCACCATGCCTGACCACCTAGGGGTACTCTTTTTTTTTAATATTTATTTTTTAGTTGTAGTTGAACACAATACCTTTATTTTATTTATTTATCTCTATGTGGTGCTGAGGATTGAACCCAGGGTCTTGCATGTGCTAGGCGAGCACTCTACTGCTGAGCTACAACCCCAGCCCACCTAGGGGTACTCTGAAACACCCCTATACCATGGTCCCTTCCCCATGATCAGATTCCACTGCTCTGGAGGATGGTCCAAACACCACAAGTCCTGCAGGTGAACTGCATATGCTACCAAGCTTGAGGCCCACATAGCTCAAGAGTCTTTGCATGCTCTTAAAGATGTCCTATGCTCCATGCTCCAGGCCAGGGTCTGCAGTCCTCGTCAACATGCTCACTCACCCACGTGGTCTTGTTCTCCATGTTGATAGTGGGGACACTGGTTCGTAGGAACAGAGTAGCTGAGCCATCTACCCTGACACGGTCAAAGTCTCTGTAATCCTGGAAGGGGAAAGGGGGTCAAATGCAGAAGGCTCTCTGAGCGTCCTTGCTTGTCCCCAAGCACAGCTAATCTCTCACCCTCCCACCAGGCAGCATCTTTAAGCAGCAACCCCAAAGGGTCCATCAGTCAACACAAATGTGCATCATTCATTCCTTCATTTGTGCACCGGGTCCTGTGCTAGATGCTAGGGACAGCAGAGATAATGAAGGTCACAGTCAGGCCTCTGGGCTAAATCTGGCTCCGCACCTGCTTTTGTAAATGAAATATTTGGGACACAGAGCCACACCTACTCATTTGTGCATGGCAGCTTTTGTACTCTGATGAGGGAGCTGAGTAGACGCAGCAGGAGCCATGTGGCCCGTTCAGCTGAAAAGATTTATAAGTGAGTCATGGAAAAAAGTTTGGTATAGGTGGCAAGAGAAGGCTACAACCCTGAGTCAGGCACGATAGGAGTCACGTGTGGCTTCTCAGAAAGCTCTGTGGGTGTCCTGAGGGAGAGAGGTCACTTCAGCTGTTAAAGTCAGAAAAGACCTCACCAATGGCAAAGAGATGAAGCATCTGAAGGAGACCCTGAAGGCTGAGTAGGAGTTGACACATGGAAAACGGGAAATGGCATTTCAGGGGGAAGGAACACAGGGCCAAAGGCTTGGGGGTGCAAAAGGTACAGACACAGCTTCAGATAATGGAAATATGAGAGAAGGTCTTTTTTTTTTTTTTTTTTTTAAATCAATGAGCCACATCCCAGCCCTGTTTTGCATTTTATTTAGAGACAGGGTCTCACTGAGTTGCTTAGCGCCTCGATTTTGCTGAGGCTGGCTTTGAACTCACGATCCTCCTGCCTCAGTCTCCCAAGCTGCGGGGATTATAGTGATGGGCCACTGCACCTGGCTAAGAGAAGGTCATTTTGGCTGGAGACAAACATTACACATCCACACCCAGACATGCAGACGTCACCCTGGCATGGCCCTCAGTGACAGGGATACTGCTGTGCATAAAACACGATGCTGTCACTGCTATCACACACACACACACACACACACAGGGTCCCTGTGACCCCTGGCTTCACCCTCCCCCTGTTGCTCTCCCCACCCAGGTGGGTGGCATCGAAAAACTCCAAGCATGGGCACTGACCTCGATGAAGGTGCTGTTCCATACCCGAGCCTTCACTGTGACATTGGTGACAATGGAGGCATCAGGAATGGGGCACTCCAGCCACACGCAGCGGGCACGGCCAGTGGAACAGGACTAAGGTGGGCAGGGAACAAGAGACATGAGATGGTCTGGGTCTCTGGCTTCTCTGTGCCTTCTCCTTTCCTTCCACCCTCTAGACCGCCCCCCACCCATGGAAGCTGAAGGAGCCTGACTTCATCTCTTTAGCCACACACATTCCCGGCCTCCACACATATACCTTTAAGACATGTTCTTTGGGCCAAGCTCACAAAATGTCGGGAACAAGAGTAATGTAAACTCTAGCCCTTGCTTATATAAATGAGGTCCAAGCCCAAGACCCCCTTCCCAGCCCCTCCTGGCCTGAGCCTGCCTCCTTCCCTTCAGCTCTGTGCCTTGGGATACCACCTTCAACCTGTCCACCCAGCTGGACCTCTGCCGCTCCCAGGCCATTCCTGTCTCCCTTCCTACAGAAGATGCCTCACACATCCTCCTGCTCCTCCCCAAAACCCAGTCCTAGTGTCCAAAGCCGTGAGCATCCAGGTGGTCCCCAATAGGTAGGGACCCCTTAGAATAGAGCGGTGTCTCCTCCCTTGGTTCACAGTATGGGATGCTCCCTATCAGAATGGAACACCCTCTGAGGGCAGACAGTGGTTCTCCTGCTCTGTCTGGGGGCTCCTGAGGGCAGGTACCACCTCACCTCTGCAGACAAGTGTCTCCAGTAAGTAGTCTCTACCTTCTGCCTTCATGTGCCACCCCATGACGGGGTCAGCATGATGCTCCCCATCCCTGCCCTGACCACTCACCAGCACAGTCTCAGACTTGGCTTTTTTGGCAGCAGCCAGAGTAACAGGTGGTGGGCCCTGGCCTCCCCCTGGGTCCAATTCTCTCCTCCTGCGCTGGGGAGATGGTGGCCTGTCTCCAGGGTCCTGAAGAGGTAAGAGATTTGCTAGGAAGGCAGAGGGAAATGTGGGAGCAGGGATGGGAGAGGAGAAAGGGGGGGGAGTCAGGCTCCCAAAGGGGTATGAGGTGGGGAGGGCCTTTGGGTCCTTCAGCATGCAAATGAGATTCAATGCAAATGAGATGCAAATAAAACATTCCTGATCATGAACTTACAGAGAGAGTGAGGTTGAGAGGGTTGACAAGGTCTCCGGGTGGCGAACAGGGCCAGGACCCATTGCCATGGACGGTGATCTCCGTGGGGTAGAGCAGCCACTTGCCATTGGTGACTTCATAGGGCCACTCCAGACCCAGGACCAGGGTCCCCAGGGCCACCAATCCCTCCCCTACTGGGCTCACCTATGGGCACAAGAGATGTCCTGGTTACAGTCTTCTAGCAAACCACTCCATCTCATCAATCCCAACCCTCCCATCCTCCAACCCCAGATCCAGAATGAACCCCCATCAACTTTCCCAGGAGTCCCCAACCAGAACCCCAGAGGTACCCTTACCTGGAATTCATATTTGAGAGGGCTTCCCACGTCCTCCACAGTTTTCATGCCAGCCTCGCCCATCACAGTCCCACCAAAGAAGCTTTGTAGCCGGTGATTCACCCTAGGGTAAGAAAGCTTCTTGAGTCATGGGAGGCTGGGGTCCTGGCAGAGAGGGTGGGCACCAAGGATGGTTAACTATCGCTCCTCTGACATCAGATGGACCTGGTATAAACCTTAGCTCTGCCATGTACCTACCAGCTGTGTGTCCTCAAGCAATTTATTTTTCCTCTCTGAACCTCTGTATCTCCATCTGCACAGTGGAGTTAATAACAGTTGGAACAACACAGGGCAGTTGTGAGAAGATGATTCATTGACATATGTAAAATCCTTTGCCCAATGAGCTCTCAAGAAATGGTAGGGATTGATATCTTAGCCCTAGGGTGGCTCGTGCCTCCCCTTCTACCTGCTCTACAGGAGGATAGAACAATAAGGACAATGACTTTTGGTGAAGCGAATCGAAGACCCAGGGGCAGTGGAGACCTGAGGTTAGCAGGCCAAGAGAAGTGTCAGGGGAGCTTGGAGACAGGGAGACATGGGGAGCAGAGTTGTACCCACATGCTGAGCGAGGCCTGGAGCGTGTAGTCCACAGATAGTTTCAGAGTCACGGGCCGCAGGTTATCCTGGTGACTTGATCTGGGAAGGGAACACAGGGGTTGAAAAGAGGCCGCGGATACTACCTCACCCTGACCCAGGCTGCCTTCACAAGGCCACTCACGTGGAGAGCTGCAGCTGCACCTGAAGGTCCCTTGTGTGCAGGGTCACCCCTATGACCTCAAAGGCAATGAGCAGCTCCATCTACAAGGGCCAGAGAAGAAAAGGACATTGGGGCCCAGGAGGGATATTGCGACGGGGAAAGAGGAGAATCAAACAATAAGCTAGGAGGAAGGTTCTCTGGCCTCTTCCTGTCCTAGACCACCTCACTACCTTATTTGACTCACTTTCCCCCCTTTTTCCCTTGCAATATCTGGACTTTGGCATGACCTTGAGCAAATTACTAAATTCTATAAAGCTGAGCTTCCTCTTCTCTAAAATGGCAGGTACCTCCTCAGAGAACATTGTGAGAATTGATTTTAACATCACGTAAAAGAAACCGTTGAGCTTAGGGCGGGCACACCCCAGGACTTGGTAAATCGGTTTTCTTACTTCCACCTTATTGGGGTCTGTAAACAAGTCAGGATGGCGCCTGGCATTTTGCCAGAGGGAGTGGTTTGTGAAGTAATGCCAGCGAGCCATTAAGTGTGGAGATTCCTTATTGGTTGACTGCTGTATCTAGTTTATGTTAATTAAGATAAGCTGTGTGGAATGTATATATACCGCTCCTGTCCTACAATAAACGGCTCCTACTCCATCAATATACACAAGTTGCTCATCACCCCTGGGTTAGTTTGCTGCAGCCAGACTGCAGCACACCTGCTCTAGCTTTGTGCCCAGCTCCCTAGTGGCCCAATTTTTCTTGGTTGCTGGGCCTCATTCCCACACATACCCCCCTCCACCACCACCACCCACCAGGGCCTCCGGGTTCTTTGCTTCAAGGAAGCCCCCAGGGCAAGCAGATGAGAAGGGCAGGTGCAAGCAGGTGAGGAGGAACAGCCTGAGCCCACAAGGAGTGGGAGGATATGGCCTGTGCTCACCCTCTGGTTCCGTTTGAAGGGGTTCCCCAGTTCGCACAGGATAGTCTCATTGGCTTGGCAGGTCCCAGACTGAAGAAAGAAGACAAATAAGGTCAAGGTTGGGCTTGTCTTCCCTCCCACACAGAGCAGGGTCAGAAGCCCTAGAAGCTCCCAAGCAGAAGACACGGCAGGCAATCGTGGAGGCCAAGCCCAGAGGAGGTGGGGACACGATTAAGGATAATGCATGTAAAGAACATGAACATGGGGGTGCAAATACGCGGGGAGCCCTACTTGGGCTCGGGGCCTGGTGGTGGGCACTCACTGGGCGCACTGAGGACAGCAGCAGGGCAGGAGGCACCTCCAGGTTGAGCAATGCCTCATGGGCATCTTCCCCAGCCCTCTCCCTGCTTGGGGTGTTGGTCACATTGATGCTCAGGAGCAGTTTCCGGACGTCTCTGCTGTACTGGAGCCTAAGGAGAGCAGCCCTGGACTAAGCCCAAAGCCCAAGCCCCAGGACACTCCCCATATTCATAGGTCCTGACCCTCAGGTCTCCTAGGTGAGGAAAGTTCCTTCTCTGGCCAGGCCATGCCCCACAGTCTCACCTGGAAGACTTGGCACCTGGCCCATCTAAGTTCCTCTTTCCAGGCTCATCTAACTATGAGGCCCCGCCCCTGTCCAGTGTGGCCCCGCCCCAAGCCCAGTGAGCCAATGAGGCCCGTCGCGCCCTTGGCCAATCAGCGCTGCTAAGAGCCCACCTTTCCAGCCGCTGCAGCTGCTCAGACACGAAGTACGCTTGCATCTGCAAGTTGCTGTCGCACTTGTTGTCAGGCCCACACTCCTTCTGGAACTGGACCTGGGGCAGTCGGAGGTGTGAGAGGCTACACCCCATAGAGCGAGCCCTCACCCTGCAGCCCTCCTGGCTCGGGCCCCAGCCACCTCGGTGTGGTTCTCCTGAGTCTGCGCCTGGTTGAGGACCGGATAGGCGTCCAGGGACCGTGGCCCCAGGCGGGGACGCTCAGGCATCTTCAAGGGTAAAGAGTAGTTCATGGAGATGACAATGGGGCGGAGTTTGTCGCGGACATTGTCCTGGGGAGAGAAGGCAAGCTGAGCCAACAGTGCCCTCTCCCAAGTCACCCTCTCCTTACATCACCCTGAGCCTGAGGGAGAAGCTGGCGCTCTCTCCAACCTGAAGACCCCCTAAGTTGGCCTTGAACCCCTTAGTCCAACTATCAGATTCAGACTTTCTACCATCTTGCCTGCCCCCAAGAGATGAGACTTTGCTCTCCCTTCTGAGGTCCCTCCAAGTGGGGTTTGAGCCTCCATTCATCTATTCCCCAGGAGGAATTTTCCCCTTCCATTTTCAATCTCCCTGGAATGATATTGAACTTGCCCCTCAATCATGGACTCCTTTTTTCCCCAGAGGTGAGCTAAGATCTCCCACAAACCCCTCCCTTTTCTTAGAGGTGAGAAGGCCCTTGGCTCCATCCCCACCCGGGGGGGCTCTATCTGTTCCCTACTGTGTGCTGGATACTGCGCACTATACCCTCATCTAGAATCCATCCGCCTATGGCATTCCAGGCTGACTGCCCCTCACCCTTGACCTGGTGGAACACGGGTCTCCTCCCTGTTCTCCTCCCTCACCATCAGGAGCAGCTCCAGTGTCTGGCAGCGCGTCTCAGGCATGGAGAAGAAGCCATGGAAGACAGCTGACTGGCTGCTGGCAAAGCGCAGCCGGGGCGGGCGGCGGTCCCGGTCAGCCTCCAGGGTATAGGCCAGGGCTACAGGTACACAGGGCAGTCAGTAAGTAGCCAGGTGAGCGTGCTCCCCCTTGCCCTGTGACTGGCACTCACTGATGTTTCGCCTGTAGTTGGGGTTCCCAGCACTCTGGTTGTAAGCAAAGCACAGCTCCACTTGCACACTGTTGGTGGGAGGACAAGGAGGGACCCGTCACTGTGGGGCACAGATAGCCAAGCCCTAGCTCTCACTCCTGTACTAGGTAAAAGGGAACCCAGGGCCCTTCTGGGGAAAGGCAGGGACAAAACTGGGGCATCCACAAAGCTGGTCTGTGGTATCTCTGTCCCATTCCATCCCACTCCCCTAAGGCCAAAGAAAGTAGGATTAAAAATCACAATTGGGAGAACACGCCCAGAGAGCAAGACTTGTCCAAAGTTAAGAATTAGGAGCCCTGCCCGGTCTTGAGCCCAGGTATCTGGATCTCCAGTGCAGACCTCCTCTGTCCACCCACCACCATTAACACCACTTTGTTAGCAACTAACATTTTTTAAGCACTTAAGGTATATAAAGTTGCTGTTCTAGGGATTTTTTTTTTTTGATACATTGTCTTATGTAATTATAACAACCCTGTGAATTGTTTATTAACTCTTTTACAGGTGAGGGATCTAAGACTCAGAAATGAATAATTTGCCCAGGGTGACTCTTCCTTCTTGTGCACATCCATTCCTCTTCCCTCTTCCTCAGAGTCCTCACTCCTCAGAGCCTGCCCTCCCCCACAGTGCACAGCTGGGGTTTGAACCCACAGTCCAGAGCTCCTTTTCCTAACCACTATACTCTACTGCCCCCAATTCCCTCACTATCTCCTGTAAGAAATTCTGCTTTTTAATGAGGCTGGATAGGGACAGAAATGCTAGTCCCAGTATCAGATATCTAAAGGTGAGATATCAGGAGTGGCCAGGGGAAGGGCTTGGGGGCTGGGAACCCTTCTGGCCTGCCCATACATGAGGAGTAGGTGGTCTCACCAAGAGGTGGCTGTGCACAGTGTAGGGTCCAGCACAGCTGGCCTGGCAACCAAGGTCCTGTGGAGGATGTTGATGACGGGCCGAGCCCTGTAGGGACAACAGAAGCAGGGAGATTTCAGTGCCTCCCACCTGCCCCTGGCCATGGCTAGGGCTCAACCTTCTGTGGACCTAGTGCTGAAGATGGACGAAAATGGACTCCACACAGACAGGGATGAGGGGAGAAAGGCTCCTGTCCAGCATCCCCCTGGCTCACCGCAGCAGTACAATATGGTCCGACAGGCTCCCTACAAGCAGGTCTGGGTAGAAGTTCTCATCCACGTCCATTTGCCCACTCAGAGAGTAGCCAAAGGTGGACAAGCCAGGAAGCCCCAGCTTCTCTCCATGGATTACCTGGGGACAAGGGAAAGGGGTAGAGTCAGGTTCTGGGGAGGGAGGCCTGGGGAAATCTGGAAGGGGTGGGTGAGGGAGAGGTGGCAGGGGCAGCAGAGGCGTCCCCGGCTTTTCATACCTGCTGGGGCTGTCTGAGGAGCCCCCTGGAGCTGCTGTGGTAGATGTACACTTTGCCAAGGCCTTCAAACGGGGCTCCCACCGCAATATCTGGGAGGAGAGGCAGGAAGCGTCACCCAGGTACCAGGCCCCACATCTCCCGAACCCTGTGCTGCAGGCCACAGAGCCCCGCGTGGCATTGATCTCACCCTGCCAGGCGGTGCCGACAGCAGCAGGGACATTGCAGAGGTCTGCAGCTCAGGGTTAAAGGTGACCATCTGCAGCCCAGGTGCTTCCTTTTGCAGGTGGGAAGGCGGGTTTCGAAGAGGGGAAGTGATTTCCCCACAGTCACGCAGCAAGTCAACGCCATAGGCAAAGCCACATCCTAGATTCCTGAGCCCTGCCCAGTAACTTCCCCTTTCCACATCCCCACCAATCTAATCCCTAGATATCCTGGCTCTTCTTCTAATGCCATTTATCAGCAGGGCCTGAAAAGGAGGTGTTCCCATCTGTGGCTGCCACAGAGCCCTCATGAGGGTGCTGTGGGGTAGGTACTATTACCTCCATGTTATGGATGAGGAAAAAGACTCAGGAAACCCAGAGACACAATGAGTGAGGGAAGAAGAGGATGTGTGAGCCCGTACCTGATACCAGGGGCTGGGATTTTAATCATATCCACAGTGAACTTTTACTTCAAGTGTCAAGACTTAAAATTCATTATTTCCACAAATGAACCCAAAACATTTTATGATCTTCTTAAACTTCACTGAACTCATTCTCATTCTGCTGCACTTGACCTCATAGGGTCTGGATTATCAGAAAGCCAAGCTTGTTAGCAAACTATGTCAGCCACAGGCAGAAACTAAACGAGCCTTCCATAGGAAGTGCTTGGGCTTTACCGCCCCAAGTTTCTGGCACCCATTTTGTCTCTTCAGAGGTCCCTCTGCCTTTGGTTCCTTTTAGCTCTCAGCTAGGTCCTCAAAAACTGAGGTTGTCAGAGAAGTGACTTCTGGATAAGCGAAGGGCTCCCATGGCAACCAGGCTGACACCCTGATCTAATCCTCTCCACGACACCCCAAGTCCTACAGAGCACTGGTCATACTCCTATATTAGGGCCCCCACCTTGTCCAGTTCTAATCATCCCACACCTGACACATGACAATCCTGATCTCATCTCTCCTTCAGTCCTACAACCTCCGCCAGAATCATCTTTCAAGGTATGAAGCTATATCATATTGCACCTCTGCTCCAAAACTTTCTCTGGATGTCCCTTATACACCCCAAAACCCCAATTAGCCAATAGAAAGCACCAGTTCCTCTGCCTGGCTTTCAAAACACCCACCCCGAATCCCACACTCCCTCTCCAGCCTGTCTCTGATGGAACATTCGCTAGATTTGGCACATGGATAAGTTCCTGCATTCCCACTGCACCCCTTCTGTTCCTTCCCATTATGTACTCTCAACCCATCCTTATCAACCACTTATCACCTCCTCCAGGATCACCTGTCACCGTCTGCACATCCTCCCTCTAGGATGGCTCTGAGAAAGTTGGGCCCGAGCCCCATCCCATGTCCTCCACAGGCCCTGTCAAGCCTGGTATGCAGCTGGTGCTCAGTCAGTGGGGGTGCTGGGGAAGGGGTGCTGGCTCATACCCTGGAATCCATCCTGGTTGATGTCACCAATGCTGGCCACAGAGAAGCCGAAGGCAGAGCGACTGGGGCCATGAAGGAGGAGGGAGGGGTGGGCAGGGAAGGAGGTGCCCGCCTGGTTCATGAAGACGTAGACCGCACCCCCGACTTCCTCTTTCCGCTCAAAGTAGTAGGGAGCACCCACCAGGAGGTCCTGCCACCTGCACAGGTGAGAAAGGGCAGGGTAAATGAGAGTGTGAGGTTGGCCCCCCAAATGATGCATAACTTGCAGAATGGTGGCAGGGTACACAATTGTGCCAACGGCACCTCAGGTCCCAGTGCATGGGAAGGACACAGGAAGGGCCAACATGGCCCACTGAATAGGAAACACATGTCATGGAGAAGCCATGCAAGCAAAGATCACACCCAAACTGCCCAAATCTGTTGAAGCCATACAAAGACAGGTAAAGACAGGAAAGTGCAGGTGTCCTGCATATGGCATGCAAATACAGAGCCGCCTATCCTCTGATTGACTCACAACAAGCAGCGAACAAATGCACAATTGCAAAGTTTCCATTTTCCTGACCTGGCCTGGCCAGCCCACCTTCCCACACCTCTCACCCTGGCCCCAGAGGATGTCCCTAGATTCTCACCCATCGTTGTTCAGGTCCGCCAGGGCAATGGCGCTGCCAAAATAAGCGCCCACCTGCGTGCCTTCCAGCACCTGCCTCCTCCGCAGGTCTCCGCCCACCTCCTGGCTCAGCAAGAAGACCGCCCCCATATGTCGGTGTCGTGGGGCACCCGTCACAACAGTGATATCCATGGGATGCAGGATGGCACTGCCTACCTGCACCGTGTATCCTAGGATGAGGGGAAGGTGTTCGATAAGCCCCCAGCAAACTGTGTCCCCTTCTACTCTGGATCCATCTCCCTAGTTTCCTGAACCCCATTATGTTCAATTCCAAGTGGGACAAGAAAGTGGACCCCTGAGCGCCTGTGTCTGTGCCCCATTCCAGCCCCACTCCTCCTACACTCTGGACTGAGCTCTGTAAGGGTAGCAACTTTGCATAACGAGAACTTGGAACAGGGGCTGGCATACAAGTAGTGCTTAATAAGTGTGTACCAGTTGAACTAAATGCCATTGGTCACAACTACACTTTAGCCTCCCTCCTCCACCAGGCACTGAAGGAAGAGAGCCAGTGTATTAGGGACTGAGCCTCCTTCTTTTTTATCACCCAATGGGCCCCCAGAACTGAACTCACCAATGTAGAGGTTTCCTTGGTCCTCTGGGTCCTTGTAACTATACTCAGATAAATCCCAGTCCTTCCGCTGAATCATGTAGCTGTTTCCTTCACAAGGATTTGGGGAAAGGGAGGGGTAGGAGTCACCAACCCTTTCTCTTCCACCACGTCCAGCCCTCCCACCCCATTGTAATAACACCTTTTGTGAGCACTTTGTCATTTACAAAATATGACCCCTTTAGAAATTTCATGATGTCATATGATGGATGACTCCCATTGTGCAGATGAGAAAAGTGAGGCCCTAGGAGGGAAACTGACTTCCTACAGAGCCATGGGAACTAGCTGTAGAGGCATGGCCAGACTCCTGCCTGCAGGCTCCTGGGTGTGGACACTAGCTGATACTTTCCCACCCTCCAGATGCCTTGGGCAGGCTCCATGCCATTATCTTGTGGGACCATCCCCAAATTTGGGCTGCCTACCTGTTCCCAGGTAGAGTACCTGTGACCCTGCCAAGGTTCTAAAGGACCAGGGGGAGACAGGCAGGGCCAGGGGAGGGGGCAGAACCTCATTGTTCCATGAGCCCAGAGCTGTGGCTATGGCTGGGCCACCTGCTGGTCAAGAGGAGGAGACTGAGAGTTCCCTGCCTGTAGATTCTGTGAAATAAGGATACATGAAGAGGAGAGGAGTCACTATCACTACAATCTGTGTGATGGAGAGAGGTAGAGATGGAGGACGCCTGAGTCATCAGACACCTGTAGGACAGTATGTCCTGTAGTCCCCAAAAGGAGGGTGGCCCTCCATGCATGTGACATGAAGAAATACCCCTGGCTTTGGATAAGTGAAAAGAAAAAGTAGCAGGATAGCATGTTTAATAGGATCCTATTGGCAAGTTTTTGTCTTTTAAAAGTTATCTATGTATTCTAAGTCTGGAAGGATTCAAAAGATACTATTAGCATCAAGAAATGGGTTGAGGGCTGGGGCTGCGGCTCAGCGGTGGAGCACTTGCCTATCATGTGTGAGACACTGGGTTTGATTCTCAGCATCACATATAAATAAATAAATAAATAAAATAAAGATATTAAAAAAAGAAATGTGTTGAAGGAGATGGGTGGGAGAGGAGGGACATTTTTACTCTTTGGGGGGTGGGGTACTGGGGATTGAACTCAGGGGCACTAGACCACTGAGACACATCCCCAGCCCTATTTTGTATTGTATTTATTTAGAGACAGGGTCTCACTTTTGCTGAGGCTGGCTCTGAACTCTCGATCCTTCTGCCTCAGCCTCCTGAGTTGCTGCACCACGCTGCCCAGTGACAATTTTACTCTTTATTTTACCAAATCCTGCTTGTAATATTTAGTGGTTGTTCCAGGAGCATGTTTTATTTTTAAAGTAAGTTTTTAATCTAGGTGCAATGGTACACACCTATAATCCAGCTATTCAGAAAGCTGAGGCAGGAGGGTTGTCAAGTTTGAGGCCGGCCTTGTCTTAGCAAGACCCTGTCTCAAAAATATAAAGGGTTGGGTATGTAGCTCAGTGGTAGACTACTTGCCTACCATGTGTGAGGCCCTGGGTTCACTCCCCTACATCACAAAAATAAATAAATAAATAAGTTTTTAGTGGCTAAGTTGCAGTCAGATGGACCCACATGACAATTCAGGTTTCAGAACTTATTATTGGCCACAGGCTATTTATTTCACTTCTCTAAGGCTCAGTTTTTTTATCCTATAAAATGAATATTATAAGAATACTTGCCTTGTAAGAGTATAATTAAGACAGTCCCTGGCACACAGTAAATGCTTTAAAATAGTGGAAGTCATGGTTGCCACTGTTGGCACAAGGTCTTCTGCCCATCTCTCCTGCCCCCTAGTGGGGATGGTCTGGGGTGGGCAGTCCCAGTGGCTAACAGGGTAAGGGGTGGGGTGGGGGTGGGTGGTGAGTGCTCTCTGCTCCTCCTCCCTTTTTCCATGGTCCCCACCTTTCCAATTGTAGGCACCAGGGGCTCCGAAGTACACGGTGTTCTGGGTAAAGCCTCCACTGGTGCCCAGCTGGCACATGCCCGTCTCCAGGTAGTCGGTGTTACTGTTGCACATCTCGTTGTGGTAGGTCTGCCAGTCATCGCTGGCATCCAGCTCTAGGTCGTTGCCCCGCACGTAGCACTTGCCTACCATTCGCCGCTGGTCCTCCGACCCTGACCACAGCACCTGGGTGTAGCGGTGGGCACAGACCTGGGGAGCACCCCCCAACACATGAGGCCTTAGCCAGAGCAGGGGCCCAGGGAAAGCTGTCTCCTCTGGCCCAGGCACCTCGGGCTTTGTGGGACTGAAGGAGAACCCCCGGCTTCTTTTCCTTTCTATGGTGATAATTAAACTCACATTCCCTTTCCAGTACCCAGAAATCTGTTCTGAAGGTCAAGAGCAATTTTTGGAAAATTTGTAAGGACTTGAGAGTAGCTAAGACAGCTAGGAGAAAGGATGAGGGAAGGTGGGGCTTAGGTTCTAAAGTCAAAAATGGGTCATTTCCAGAGAGATTAGGGGACTTGCTTCTCTCTGTCCCCAGATGACCCTGTCTGCTTAATAAAAGGACCATTATTAAACCGGAATAATAATAGTAATACTCATAATAATAATAATAGCAGCAGCTAACACTTACTGAGTGCTTACTATTTGCCAGACATTAACAACTCCATAGTGTGGGGACACTTATTTCCCCCGTTGTAGATAAAGAAACCAAAGCACAGAGAGTTTAGTAGCCTGTCCAAGATCTCACGCCTACATAGAGGCAGAGAATATTCAAACCAAGACCCTCTGGCTACATAGCACAAGATACTGTGCTGCCTCATAAAGGTGACTCTACACACATCTCCAGGCCTCCTGCAGCTACTCAATATAGATTTATTGGACAAACCAGTGAATCAGATTAGTGTGTTCTAGGGCTGGGGGTGTAGCTCAGTGGTAGAGCATGTGTTAATAAGCATGCTCCAGGCAAGAACACAAAAAGAAGAAAAAGGGGGGTGTTTTAAAATAGCCTAGGGCCAGGCACAATCAGAAACTGGCCCCATTCTTGTTTATTTGCTTTTCCCTGATCCCTTCTAGCTGTGAGAGCCACTAGCATGTCACATGAGCCTGTCCTAAGTTTCTAGGACTAGCACAGTGCTTGGTACTCAGTAGGTACTCACTAAATATTTATGGAATGATTGAATGGGTGAGTGATTACCTCATTGCTAAGGACCCAGGATCTAGAATGGCTTTAAATGGTCTCGTTGACCTATAACCATTCGCAACAGGGGTCACAAAAACGTGTTTCAGTGAACTGATGCAAACCTGGAGCTCTGAATAGTGTTCAAAGGTGACAGAAATCACAGCAGTGATGGCTACAGGGGTGGTAACTGACTATAAAGAGGCACAGAGAACTTTCTGGGGTGATGTACATATGCTTCATCTTTCATGCGTGTTGATTACGCAGGTATATACATATTCCTCAAAACTCACAGAAACGGGCTGGGTGAGTAGTTCAGGGGTACAGCACTTGCCCAGCCTGTGTGAGGGCCTGGGTTCCATCCCCAGTAATATAAAACAAAAACAAAACAAAAAACCCAAAACAAACAAATAAAAAAAAACCCTCTTAGAAACTTCAAATCTGTACATTTCACTGTATGTATATTTTACATTAATTTTAAAATGAAAACAAAAATGTCCATCTGGGCCTTGGAAATTGAGACCCCAGGGGCCAACACTAAAGGATGTGTGTAGGAAGTGACAACTGACAGCAGGGAGTAGCCTCCAAAGCAGAGCTGGGTAAGCTGGGGTCAGCAGGGCTGCGTCTCTTCCGGCAGCCTGCCTCCCAGGAAGGAGGCAGGCCAGCGCCCAACAGCCTGGGGCCCTCTCTGCCCTTTGCTCCTGCAAGTTCCCACGAATAAAGAACACCCCATGTGGGTGCGGGGAGGAAGCGGGTGATTCAGACAGGACCCAGGCCATGCCCCGCCTTGGGAGACAGCCAGACACATACCCCCTCCCCTGGAGTACAGAGTGCAAGGATAGAGAGGCCTGTGGAGACGCAGCCACTGGAATGGACACTTGCAAAGACCACATGCATGCACCCCTGGAGAAGGAAGGAGAGAGCAGGCAGGGCAGGGCCAGCAGTGAGTGCCCACTTACCAGGACTCTGCCTGCAGGGCCCTGGCTGGCCACAGTCACCCCGAGCCACATGTCCTCAATAATGTGATGGTCAGGGTCACCTAAAGGCATGGGAGGGATCATGAACCAGGGCACCTTACCCTATATACCAGTGCCCCAAACCCCCAGAGGGCAGTAGTTCTTTTAGACTCCCAACCCCAGTAGGGCAGCCCCGGCTACTCCCCTCTTCAGTCCGTCATAACTTTGGTATCTACCAATCCCACATCTGCTCTAAGGCTCGCTGTTTTACTAGTCACTAGATCAGAAATCACTAGAAACTGCATAAGCAAGCCTTGTCCTCTTGCTGTGCCTCCCCACCAGACACTGCTCCTCACTTTTCTCCGTGATGTCCATCCGCTCACAGTCGTTCTTGTGGGCAGTGAGGGGACACAGGTACACAGCACCAGTCCGGTTGGTGTAGCCATCAGACACAGCGAGTTCCCTGGGGGCACCAGCCAGGAGCCTGGGGGCAGGGAGGCAGGGGGTTCCAAGCTCAGACTCTCCCAATCTCCCCCCAGCCAACTTGTCATTCAACACCCAGTTACTGAGTATTGGCTCTGTGCCAGGCTCTGGGGCTGGGACAAGAATGGACCCCAGCCCCTGCCCTCCAGGAAAGAGCCCAGGCAGGCAGGAACAGACAGTAAGTGCCACAGGAAAAGGACACAGAGAGACCTGCAGAAGAGGGTGTCTGAGGACAATGACCAGGTGTCACCCGATGAAGGGGGGCAAGGGCACTTTAGGCAAAGGTACTGCATGTGCCAGGGCCAGGAAACATGAGGAAGCAGGGTGATTCAGAGCTCAGGCCCTCCATAGAGTCGGAGCCCAGGAACATCCGGGGAGGGACAGGAGGAGAGGGTGGGAAGGGCCTTGGAGGAGCCGCAGAGGGCAACCCAACCAGATGACATGGTCAGATCTGGGTTTTCAAAGGAATGTTTTGGCCTCAGAGATGAAGGTAGAGGGGAGGAGTCCTAGAACTGGGTTCCAATGACCTGACACTTTGAACGATGTGATCCAGCAGCCCTGTTCCAGTGTATGGGCAAGGACTATTGCCTTGCCTCCAGAATCCATCTTTGGGGACATGACATTGACAATGAGCTCTTACAAGGGTGCTTAGAGCCCTGGCAATCCATCCCACGCCAAAGGGGTGGCTGGAACCAGAGGGATCAGCCCTGAAATATTATCTCTGAGGATAGTCGTGGGGCCATGACCATCAGACATCCTCGTGAAAGAGGCAAATTCCTCAGCCCACCACTGACCTTCTCCATCGAATCCAGGGTACCCCTGCTGGAGAACCCAGTTCTTCCATGCCTCCTCCCCAGAAGTGTCCCTGCAGCCTCTCAGTGTTCTGCCAGGACCCCTCCTCGATCCTGATGATGCCAGTTTCCTGGATGGCAGGCACCTTTCAGGTGCTCCTCCAACTGGCCCCAGAAACATTATCACCTTGAGGCCCCAGGCTCAGAACTTGGGCTCCAGGGCTCCCATCAGACTCTGGAAGTGCCAAGCAAGGGCTGTGCCTGCAGCCTCTGCCAAGGACCTACTTATGAAGGAGGCAGGGAGTGGGTAGGGCAGGGCCAGGCAAGCTGGGGCCTGGAGTGTCTCCTCCCACTGGGATTCAGGAATGCACAGCCTGGGGTGCTGGGAAGGGGCGTGGCCTCTGCCTGCACCTCACATCTGCAGCTCAAACCTCACCCTGGGGAAGTGTTCCTGGGAGTGAGGGCTGGGCTTCCCCAAGAAGAGTAACATTATGAGATTATGAGCCCTGCAGGGAGGCTGACAGGAGCCACAGTGGCCTAGTCAGTCTCCTTCTGCCTGGGATGGGGAGGGTGGCTCAGTGAGTCCACTGTCTGACCACCCATGGACATTCACCCCCAGGGCTCCTAACAGATGAAGAAAGCCAGGGCCCCGTGGGAAAGGAACATCACAGCCTGGGAGCTGGTGACCTTGTTCTAGGATCTATTCTGTCTCCAAGGGTAATTTCCTCTCCCAGAGCCTGGATTATCTCATCTGTAAAATGGAAACAGCAGCTGTCTTACCCACCTTTGGGGGTTATTGGAGGAATAAATGGGTTCACTTGGTAAAAAGCTTTCTGACTATGAAGCCATGGCTGATGTGGTCACTGCTGTTCTGATTTCTTGTGGCACCAAGACTGGCTCTAGCATGACCCCAGACTCCCTTCAGGGACCCCAGGAATTTCAGTCCTAACACAGGTTAGGAGGCCTGGAGCAGAGGGGAAAGGAACAGAGTACTGCCATCCTTTAGAGGGAGCAGGGGACTGGACACAAGTAGGCTCCCGCAGCTTGACAATACCAGGCAGTCCCTGAGGGTGTGGGCACTGGTGGCTAGAGTCATTCTAGGGAAAAAACAGTATCAGCTGGAGGTGGAGGTCTCCTATGATGACCTTGAGAGGGTACAGGCTTCAGCAGTGAAGGGGACCCTAAGGAGCCCAGGTTGCGTTCCAGGACATGCAACGTAGTGGAAATACTGCCCTCATGCTGCTCCTGCCCTGTCCAAGCTGCCGGCAGGAGGTGCCCAAGGAGTGGGGTCTCTCTGCCTCCCAGTGCCCTCACCTCAGCCAGGAGGAGCTGAGGGAACCCCCCTTCTAGCTGCCTGAGGTACTGAGCCAGCAGAGCTGGGCATAAATGGCAACTGGATTAAACAAATTCCTATACCACCTATACCCACCCCCCTTGCCAGAGCTGCCTTGTGCCCACAAATGGAGGAGGGGACAGGACCCATGCTTTAATCCCAAACCCACATCCTAGGTCCCCCCCTCAGAGATTCCACAGGAGCCCCCCCACACCCCCTGGAGTATTTTTAGCTCCTACTTGGCCCGCTCAGAGGCCCTTTAAGGCCCTCTGGCTCCCAGCCCAGGATCCAATGGGTCTCCAGCCAGAGGCCTGCATGTGCATAGGGGAAGGCAGGTTTGCAGAGAGTCAGGTTCCTGCTTCCCCAGTCACAGCCAGGTGTGCGTGGTGAGGGCTGGAGAATCCAGAGGCTGCAGGGAACCTTACTAATATGCAAATGAAATACAAATTGTTATGCAAATGAAAACTTCAGCTAGCTACCTGCTGTTGGGGCTAGTCCAGATCAAGCAGTCCAAAAACCCACCCCTCTCAAATCAGCATTTAACCCAACTCCCAGCCAGTCAGAAGGCAGAGGCAGCAAAAGTGTGGCCCGGATGAAGCTCTAGGAAAACTGGAGGTGGACCTGGCCTCTCCTGGAGTCAAGCTGGGCTGGGAGGGAGGGGGTGTGGAGGAAAAGATGGCTCAAAGGCTCTCACCTAGCTGCCTCCTCTTGAGTATGTTCCATTCTGAAGGCACCTCCTGGCCTCTGGAGACCCCCTGAGCCCTGAGTTCTTCCTCACCCGGCCCCAGTGTTACTCCAGGGCAGCACGAAGCTAATGGAGCAGCACAAAGTGGTAGAATTGGAGAAGGCTGGGGAATGGGGCCCAGGAGAGTTCAGGGCACCAAGTTGGCTCACTCCAAAAAGGAGGGCCCCCCAGGCACTGGGGTGATGCTCAAAGAAACAGTCTCTATGATTCAACCTCACAGACTCCTTCATCTCGGGAGTGTGGGTGGAACCTGTGGAAAGAGGAGGAGGCCAGAGGATCTAGCACTCAGTCCCCTGCCTTATTCCTAGGGTCCTTAGCCCCTGGGCTCCTTCCCATGCCAGGCCAGGAAGCAGGAGGGGGAGGGGATCTGCTCTGGCCTAAAGCCCTGGGGTGGGAAGGGGCAGCTCCTAGATGCTCAGATGCCAGCCCTGTGCCAGCCCTGCTGCCCAAATTAGCCACCTCCCCAGAGGCTGCTCCTATGGCGGCTGAAACTGCAGCCCTCCCATCCTCCTTAGGCTGCCCACACAGCCCCCTCTCCTCCTGGTGACTCAGCCCAAGAACCAGAGCAACACGCTGGAGGGAAGGAGAAAATGAGGACAGCAGAAAGAGGCTGGGGGGGTGCTCCAAGTAATGGAATAAGCACAACAGTCTATTTTTCCCATTTCTTCTCCCTTTCCCCGGCTCTTCAGGACATCATCTTCCTCCTTGGTTTAGCTCTGATGGAGTCCCTTTCGCTGCTTCTTATTTCTAAGATCAGCCTTCCCTACCTCCTGCCCACTTTGAAGCCCCCTGGCCTGGACTGGTCATTGGAGAGAGTCCAGGGAAAAGTCCTCCAGCCTGAAGCTGCCGTGCTGCTTCTGCTGGCACTAGCAGGAGAGGCTGCCGGCTGCCTGCCCAGGGAAATGTGTGTTGGGAAAGCACAACAGGTTGCCCAGCTCCCCCTGCCCCAAGTATGATCTCATTTCCAGGAGCTGCAGCCACTCCCACCTGAGGCCTCCCAGACATCTTTATTTCCAAGCAAGTGAGGAAAGGAAAGAGGGTCCAAAGGGATCCCCTAGAGTCTGAGATCAAGCCAGACCAGGGAATGGCAAAGCAAGTGCTGGGGTGGATCAGAAACCACCTCCCAGAAGAACAGTACTTCTGCCTCCCAGGACTCCTCATGCCTCTTGCTAAGAAGCCCAAAGTGCCAGGCACCTCTAAATCCCAGCAGCTGAGGAGGCTGAGGCAGGAGAATCGCAAGTTCAAAACCAGCCTCAGCAACTTAGCAAGGCACTAAGCAACTCAGTGAGACCCTGTCTCTAAATAAAATAACAAAAAAGGGCTGGGGATGCGGCTTAGTGGTTAAGTACCCCTAAGTTCAATCCCCAGTACAAAAAAAAAAAAAAAAACCAAACAAACAAACAAGCAAACAAACAAAAAGTGCTTTGGTCCTCATTCCTCCCTTACAGAGACTGGGAGCTTGGGGCTGGGTTGTGGGTGGGGAACCCAAGTGCAGAGATGAAGGTGATGACACAGCAAGGAGTGTCCACCTTGGGGTTTTAGCCATTTCTGGAACAAAGCGTTCTTTAAGAACGCAAAAGCTGTGTTCTTCCCTCCTCCTGACCCTAGGATGAGGTTCAAATATACATGATTTGCATATAATTTCAGGGGTCCCTGCATCTCCTGGAGACCTTCTGTGAACTCCAGACAAAAGGCCTGTTCAGGACCATGAACACTTTGGTTCTTCCAAAGGGACTTTGAGACTAAAAGAATAGAAACCTGCAGCTTGACCTACTAGCTCCCTTGAGCTCTGTGCTCAGACAGCTGTTCACATCTGGCTACACAGCTGGTTGCAGCTAAGCCCAGCTAGGGCCAGCTGACTTTTCCAAAGGGCCAGGGGGCTGCACTCTGTAAGATGAGATGAATCAAGATAGAGAACTACCCCTGGATGAGACTGAGGATACCCAATGGGGAGACTCAGAAATTGTCTAGAACCACCTGCCATTCAAAGGTGCAGCAACTTTGAAACTCCTCCAAGAAGAACCCCTTGGCTGGGCTATCTTGGGTGGAGTCCATGGGCAAAGTGGATGTACCCCATCCTGGCTTCAGTTTGAGAGCCTCTGGAGGGTCCTTGGAGAATTAGGCATATACAGAGCATTTTACACACACTATCCCATGCAAGTCCCACTAAAACCCCTTGAAAAGGGCATGTCGTTCCCCTTCTGCTGACATGTGAGCAAACAAAGTCTCAGGTGTTAGTGACAGAGCCAAGACAAGACTCTGGCAGTAGGACTTTTGAGCCACTTCTCCCTCCATAATGCCAAGTTGCCTTTCATAGGCCAACAGAGGTGGGGAGGAACACATAGATTCAGGTCCAACACTTTTTTAAGGAAAAATTGGCCACTGGCAGGGAAATACTTGCTCAAGATAACACAGTAGAGAGGGAAGGGCTGAAGAATCGGTTTTTATTCTTTCTTCCCAGTCCAATCTTCTCTTTCACTGTGTTACTTTATGTCATGGAGATTCTGCATCAAAACACCTGAAAATCGGGGCTGGGGTTGTGTGAGGCACTAGGTTCGATTCTCAGTACCACATATAAATAAAGGAATAAAATAAAGGTCCATCAACATCGTAAAAAAAAAAAAAAAATATATATATATATATATATATATATATATATATATATATATATATATGAAAACAAAACAAAATTTTAAAAAATGAAAATCATTTTCTGGGCTAGGGTAGAAAAAAACATTGCTATAGAATCTTTCACTGGTGGTCACTCAGGGCCTTCAAATGATGGAAGGCTGGCCAAAGCCAGACTGAAGTTGCTAAACCTGGCTGGGTAGGGTGTGGTGGCCCTACCCTCTGAGAAGAAAGCCAGATGGGGGAGAGGCTAAGTCCAGGTAGGTAGCCTGGACAGGGGCTGGGCCAGCAGGGCAGGGGCAGGAAGGTAGCTGAAGCAGAGTTTGGACTTTGAACACTCCAAACTTCAAGTTTCTGCAGGCCTCAGTTATAGCTGGAGCATTTTCAACTCAGTTTTAGGCTGACCAGGTCTTCTAGTTTAGCCAAGTTAGAGACCAGGTAGGGACAGATGCCTAGCAGGTCACCTAGGTGAAAGGGGTCTGCCTGATTTGTCCCAGCCACTGCCCTTTCCCGGGCAACATTACCTCCTCCAGTCACCCTCTTTCCCTAGCTGCCAACCTCAGCAAACTGAGCCCCTGCAGAGAAACCTCTGAAACCCCCAGCTCTTCCGGCTCACACACGCTGCAGGTTCTCCTTGCAGCTGTGGGGAAGGAGGGCAGAAGGAAAAGAAAAACACCATTTCCCTCTTCAAACCAAAACAAACACACTCAGGGCTGCCGGTTCAACATGAATCTGAGGAATGCAGGGAAGAGGTCTGGTGGGAGAGCCCCCCCCGCTTGTGGGTGGGCGCCAGAGACCAAGCCTGTCTTCTACTGCCCCTTCCTCTAGGAGTCGGAGGGAGCCTCTGGACAGCTCCAAACACCCAGACTCCCCATCACCTCACTGCAACGCCAAGCAGTTGAGAAGGCAGTCCAGGCTGGCTCTGCAGAGGGCGTGGTTGGTGTGGCCACAGACTAAATGCAAGGTGTAAGTGGGGGCTTAAATGCATTTGCTGAGGATTCTACCCAGGCAGAGGGGAATGAGGGTCCGCTAAGTGTTTATCTTGCAGTTTTCCCCAGCTTCCAGTCCCGCAGAGAAAAGACCAATGGTAGGTAGCCGGTTTACTAGGGGCTCAAGCAACAGAGACCCCATTTCCGCTCTCGGGAGAGGTCCGAAGGGTGGAAAGGTGTCGTCTAGACAGGTTCTGGCAGAGTCAGCACTCGCCAATGATTACCGCTCCCCAATCCTTCACTTCCCGCCAAGCCCGGCAGTCTGAGAGCTGCCGGGGTACCCGCCCCCTTAATCCTGGGTCACAGTGGCCAGTTGCAGCGGGTCTGGAAGTCCGAGGGCCCAGGGCTCCCACCCAGCTCCGGATCCGCACCCCCGCACATACTCTCTCCTTCCCCACCCCCGCCAGACGGACTTACAGGTATCGCTGCTGCCGCTCTGTCTGCCGATGGAGGGCGACCGAGTAGCCAAAGAGGCTCCCCGGGTTCTGGGCCTCCTTCACCACCAGGAATCGGGTGTCCAGGTTGAAGGCGGAGGCGACGCGACCGCCGGCCGCCACCATCAAAGCGAGCGCGCAGAGCATCCGGCGCGGGGCTCGGAGCGCGCGGTTGGGGCCGGAGCCCATGACTGAGCGCGAGCCGGGGCGGGGACCAGAGCGCTCAAGGGCGCGGTGCGGAGAGTGAGGACCTGTTCACCTGCTCCGGGCGCCTTCAGAGGACACTGGAGCCCGCCGCGCCGTTGCGCCGGGAGCTGATCAGTTTCTCGCTCCTAGCCGGCTCAGTTTCACATCTGCTCAGGTCTGCGCCCTGGGATCGCCTTCTAAGGTCCGTGGATCTATTCTCACGCCTGTCCGGCTGCCGGGTCACCGTCCCTACACCCGGAGCACCCGGCTCCCAGCTTGTCCCGGCGGCGCCCCCTTGACCGCGCTATCGCCTTCTATCCCGGCCAGGCGGCGGATCTGGCCAAGCAGACCCGTGGACCACAGGGAGGACGCGAGGGAGAGGTCCCCCGCGGCGTGCGCCCCGCCTCCTCACGCCCAGCCCCGCACCTCCCCACCTTGCGCGCCCAGTCCCGGCTCCGCTTTCCTTCCGGGGAAAGAGAAAAGGTCCCGGCCCCGCCACCGCCTCTTAAAGGGGCAGCACCGCCCCTCCCTTCTCATCCTTCCTACCCCGTCTCCGCCCTCTTCCCCAGACACCTGTCAGGAACCCCTAAAGGCTTGAATTTCCTCTCCCCGCCCCTCGCTTCTCCCAGGAACCGTCTCCTCCTGAGCACTACAGATTGAACGGGCGGGGCCAGGGGTGGGATTTGTCTGGCCGCTTCGCTGAGGCCGTTTCTGCCACTTGGAAAGGCCGTTCCAGGCGCGGCCACCTCGGCTGTCCGGGCTAGACAGATGAGGCGATGACATATCTGGGAATCGACGTCTGCGCGCAGCTGGTTGGAATGGTGAATTGGCTTTCGCAGCGCCGTGAATCCCTAAGGGATGACTGACGGTCTCTGGGCGTTCTTCTCGCACCCAGTACCTTCACTGTCGGTCGGGATTTATTTCTCCTGCTCACCCACTCCCACCCATCGTGATCCAAGCTGGGAATGGTTCGTCAGCAAAGCCAAACAGATATTTTGCAGTGGTAATAACAAAGCATCGCTAATTGTAATTAGCAAAAAGACAGCATTTTCTCCTGGGCAAAGCCTTCTGGTATCAAGGGATAAGGCTGTCCTTATGGAAACGAGTTTCTCCTTAGAGCGCACTGCGTGGCCAGAGAGTTGGGTCCAGACTGAGCCCATTTCTCATCCACTCCTGTCTTCAGGGCCAAACCTAACAGAATCCCAATGGCCCCTCCCTCATCCCATAGCTCAAACTGTATGTTTGGAGACTGGGCGGGGACACCAACCCCCACAGGTGTGTAGTAGGTGGTGCCAGATGGAGGTAGGTGGAGGAGGCCAAAGATCTCATAATGGACAGAAGACTCAAACTGAAAGGGAATTTCAGAAGGTAACTCTGCACTTTGAATCTAACTCACATTTCCCTTATTGTCACACGAAGACCCATTTCCCCAACAGTCTTTTTTCTGTATACTCTTACAATGAGAAGAAAAATACCACATATTAAGCACATATAAAGCAGGCAATACACTAGGTTCTTTATAAATATCATCAATTCCTCACATATTGAGATGTTAACTGTTTTAAAACAGGAAAATGTAGGCTCAGGGGTGTTAAACAATTTGACTAAGGCCACACAGCTAGGATTTCTCTGTTACTTCTGATTCCAGTGTTATACCTGACCTAAAGTCCTTCTTAATCACTTATGCTAATAATTAACAGTTGTACAATCCTTAGGACAGATCCAGGTTTGGGGGGACCTGAAGCTTGTACAATTTGGCACTCTCTTTAAGGAATAGAATGAAAAGACGAGTAATACAAAATTGGAATCAGAGCCTGGGAAGGGGCCCCAGCCTGACTTTACAGTTTACAAATCATTTCATCCTTGTGAGATCAAGATTATCATTTCATTTGCCTTAGGTCAGAGCTAAACCTCAGGAGGTTACCTAGATGTACAGCATCATGTGATTCAGGAAAGACCCGGCTATGGATGGAAACCGCTGAATACAGCTGTATCTTTAAGAGACAAACTCCAGGCAGATGTGGTTCAGCCAGGCAGACGTGCCTAAACAATAGCAGCTGCGATAACAGTCCTCTCTGTGGTGTTTGGGGAGAGGACACTTGTCCCTGTCTGCCCTTAGGATAGCATTTGTTCCTAAGCAGTGACCCAGCTTCTCTCATGGTCAGTCTTGAGACATCCAGGGTCAAGGAACAGGAAGTTGGAAGAAAGCTGAATGTTGCCTTTGCTCTTCCAGTGGCCTCTTAGCTCCTCCACCTTGTTCCTAAAGAAGGGAAGATGGCCAGGGTCAGCAGGGCAGGGTTCAGGGTGGACATTCAGTGTGGGCAGGGGTCCTGCCCCAAACAGCTTGGAGTCCTGTGATGACAGATGGCTCCACGCCAGGCCTTATCTCTTTGACCATCCCAAACAGGAATGAGCAGCATGTCCGATCTGGGGCCTGGGAGCAGGAAAGGGATGAGGGATGGCTTTTCCACTCCAGGGGAGTGTCCAGAGGGAATGTGGGAGCAGGAGCTGGGGCGACTGCTAAGGGGAGGGCCTGGCTAAGGAATGTAGGGGAGTGTCAGACAGATCTGGGGGAGATGTAGGAGACTGGAAGGGTCTGGGCTGGAGAGATGGGGAAAAAGAAATCCCAAGTTCATGCCACAGACCAGAAGTCCTTTGGTTTTTATTCCCATCCACAGCCTCATTTCATTCCCCAGTTGACTTGACCATGTCATCTCCATCGGTCAACTTTTCCCCAGGTAGAAGGGACCCACCTAGTAATGCAGACTGAGCAAACATAGACACGTTGACTTTTGCTGGTGGCTTTTAAGCCTCAGCCCTCCTGCTTCCCCTAGCGTCCTACACGTGATGAGCGGATAAGAAAACCTGGTGCAGCCTCCTTTGGCAATGGAGGCAGATTCACAAGCCCCTTCCTGCCTGAACATTGGCCCCAACCATGATATAAACCAGAGTCGACCTCCTCTCCTGGCTCTCAAGCCCTGTGGGACCCGCTTGAGAGGCTGGCCCTGCTCTACTGAGACCACAAGCATGTAAATAATAAACCCTTTCAAGCCCTCGAGGGTGTGTGTGGCATCCTTTCTTCTTGACATCCAAAAGAAACTTTGGATGAGGTCCCTCGGTCTCTGCAGGTGACCACAGGAACGGGCAAGCTTCAGGTTCGGCTGGAGGGTCAGGGAGCGGCGAAGAAGTATCTGGACAAGAGGGAAAGAGTCGCCAGCTGTGGTGATCCTTAGGAGAGAAGAACAGCAAGAGTGTGGGGACCCTGTGTGAGGTGAAGTTTCCCAGCCAGAAAAGTGACAAGGTCAATATTCTTTAAGGGCGGATCCTGTTCATGGAGTGCTTGCTGTGTTTGCCCCAGTCTGCCAGCCCCAGGAGAGGTAAGGATTGTGTGCTGGAGCCAAGGGGTTGAGCACAGATGCTCTCCTGTCATCTCTCCTTGGGTAAATTCCCTTCCTGCTCTGGGACTCCATTGCTAAAATGAAAGGGCTGGGGAAAAAAAGAAAAAAAAATCCCTTATCATTCTTCAATCAGCGTCCAGTGTGTCCCAAGGCTTCTTGTGTGTGTTTAACTAAATAGACTAAATCTCTGCTATTGAACTAAGACTCAGGTTTCTATCTCTGACTTGAATTGAAAATGCAAATTACTGGGGAGGGAGGGAGGGAGGAGTGGCCAAGCATAAATGGGTTTATCTGATTTTCTTCCCCAGTGACCCAGATGTGGGCCTAGCCCAGGCCAAGTCTCTGGCTCAGAATTCCTCATCCTCAGTCCTCCACTCAAGACCAGTAGGGATGTATCAGTGCAGGACTGAGTCCCCCTCTATACCCTCGCTCCACGGGTATCAAAAATGAGCGAGGCCCTCTTCCAAATCCCTGCTATGGAGCCTTGGCATCTGGAAAAATGAAGCCTTCTTACGACTGTGTTCTGTACTCAGGTGGTACAAGTGGGCATCTTTCATCTTTCATCTCTTCATCTCCCAACGTCCATGTGAAGCCCTCACCCCTCACTCCTTTCCACTGAGGGCTTCACATGAATATTGACTAGAACATGGGCTCTGTGTTCACAGCTGTTCACCTATGTGGCTACGTGTCTCTGAATATTTTATGTATATTTGAATGTGGGAAGGGAGCTGATATTTATCAAACACCTACTATGTATAGCCCATCCGTTTATGTATGTTACCTTCTAAGAACCCTCTGAGGTAGTTGTCTCCCAGTTTACAGATGAAAATACTGAGATACTCAAGGTACATCAGGTGGGAGCACTTCCTCTGATATACTTGGTACCACCCCAGGGCTGCCTGACTCCAAGGTCTTCTCCTTTTCCCCATAGTGTGCTCCTCAGGGACAAGGTGTAAGACGTGCACCTGTCCGTATTTACCCTTCTGCCAGAGGCTCTTGGGTAGGGTCAGTAAGACCCTAGAGAGGGGCTAGGTAAATAAATGACAGTGGCATCCAGCTTGCACATGGTACATAGTTCTGGTCTGTGCACCCTAAGACTTTCCCCACTGAAGACCAATGTCATCATGACTTACCAATAGCTGAGTTTTATCACCTTCTTTGAAATGTGATATGATGGATGTGTATCTGTCACACAATGGATAACACAGTTATTTGCCCAGGTAGAAATAAAAGACTAAAAATGTGGGAAATCCTTTCTCCATTGTGTCTTTCTGAGATTTAGGTAAAAGTTATCCTGCAGTAATGACTCTTTTTTTAGTTGTTGATGGACCTTTATTTTATTTCTTTATTTTTATATGATGCTGAGGATCGAATCCAGTGCCTCACACATGCACTCTACCCCTGAGCCACAACCCCAGCCCCCCCCCCCCCGCAATGACTCTTGAACCAGCTTTCTCCAGGGTTCCAACCCCTGTGGATGTTGTCACTAAACCCAAGTTCCTGGTGGGAATTTCCTCAGGTGCTGTGACTCGGGGCACACCAAAGTGACCCACATGTGTCCCCCAGCCTGCTCAGCTCCTAGGGGTTCATTTCAATTGGAAGCGTGGACTTCCCCCTCTCTCCACCCAACCGGGACAATCCCTGTGTACCTCGGGGTTCGCCTTCTCGGTCTCTTGCCACCTTTCTGTCCCTTCTCCCTGGATCACTGCAGTCTTTCCTGTTGCTGCCCTGCCCCCAGCTCTCCCCACATCTGCACAGCAGCTGGAGCCACATTCCCTCCTCACTCTCCCCCTTATCACCACTCATGGCTCCTCTCTGCCCTCAGGACACTGCGCCCTCCTTGAAAGGGCCAGGCTCATCTTTCCATCTGTCCATGACCTCACTGCTTCCTCTTCTTGCTTCCAACACCACACACAGGAGTCCCTTGCTGTTCCCAATGGAACCATGCATCTGCCCCACCCTTCTGCTGTTCCCGCTGCCAGGCATCCCACTGTCCCACCTCCCTCAAGTCATC